ATAAAGGGACTGTAGATTCAGAAAGTACCCGGATCATCAGGGGACCTGGGCCCATTGAGCATGCGCAGTTGAGTTTCCCCTTAAGCCCCGCCTCCTATACCCCTGCTCTTAGCTCAGTAACATTAATTGAAAGAGAAAATAACTCTGGATTCAGTTTTAAAAAGTAGAAATACAATAATACAATAACCAATAACTCACCTTAACTTGTTCTATGAGTTTTTTTTAATGAAACGTTCTAGATCATGTTCAAAAAGTATATTTTCCTTGCAAAGAAAACTTGTTTTTGCATTTGTTTAAAATGTTTATGAATGTAATAGTACATTTAAAAATATGTATATTTATGTATACATGTCGCAATTGTACAAAGCTTTGGCAATACTGTATGTTATTGTGGTCATGCTAATAAAGCTATTTCCAGTTTTAGCTGTATCATTGTTTTGTTGTTTAATGGTTCTCTGATCCAACCCTTTTTGTTGGTTTTTAACTTTTTTTTTATATAACGTTTTTATTTCTGTTCCTTCCTATTTTTACCCATTGTTACTGTTATGTATCTTGTCTTGCTCTGTAAAGCATTTTGGGCTGCATAGTGCATGAAAGGTGCTAGATAAATTAAGTGTAGTATTATTATTATTATTATAAGAGTATTTTGGGCCAACATGACGTCACGGCCGTTGTAGTGCCACCATTTGGCCACTACGTCATTCAAACATTCAGCTTCAACGGCCGGCTTGGCATGCTACACCGGCCCTGCTGCTAACTCCTTCTTCGCTACCGTTAGCTAGCTGGACGTGGAAAACGCATCCATCTTTCTACAGGATGATGAGTCAAAGTGGCGTTAACTGAGCCCGAATGTAGAAGCTTTCTAGAGGGAATGAAAAGTGGAATTGGCTTACCTTTAATCCCAGCCATTTCTCCTGGACAAAAGCTCGACTCACAGCCCTGACGAATGACAACAGTGCCCCCCCTCCGAGTGAAGCCGAGAGAGGACGAGTCCGACCGAACCTCCGGCAGTGCTGCCTTCAGGAGCTAGAATAAAGTTCGGAATGATGAGACTATCAAAGAAATAACCTGATTAAATAAAGGTGAATTATCGTTTGTAGTTGTATTGTTGATTGCCAATGAGAGGGGAATAGGTTTTTCCGGCAATTACAACTTTGACATAAATCGGTGTCGGACACTAAGAAAGTCTTCATTATTATGAGGCAATGTATAAACGATGTTACTACTAACTGCCTGCAGCTCTACGAAAGCCTCACTTTTCACGTTGGCATAATTTGCCCGAATGTAATACACATATAGAATTATTATTATTATAAGTTACATTGTATAATTAAGTCGTGGTTAATCATTAATCATCTTTTTGAGTATTTATTTAAATTAAATAAATATACAGAATTCTTGTTTACCCGGATGTGTACAGCTTCTACTTCCGCCGACTCTGTGAGCCCATTCGGCGAAGATGGCGAGCGGAGGGATCTCGGTCGCTTCGCTGTGGACCGAAGTGAACCGCTGTGGGCAGAATGGAGACTTTACAAGAGCCCTTAAAGCTGTGACTAAAAGTACGTATTCACATCTTTCCTTGCTACTCTCAAACAAAACCTGTAGTTGTGGGTAAACAGTGGAAAAACGGTCTATTTCTTCAGTGGCTGAGCTAGGGCCAACAGCATGACCAGCTGTTGGCATGTGGCTAAGCTAATGGTACACATGTACTTGTCAGGTCTCTCAAACAAGCAATTAGCTTTGTATGGTAAAAGTATATTCATAAATGTATACTTGAGTGTCGTGGCTACACATGCATCGAGTGTGTGTAGATTTGCTGTGACATTATAAAGTAGTATTTAGCTGAAGAAATGCGTGGTCCTGTCTTGACTAGTGACGTGTCCCTAGCCTTACAGCTAACTAATCATAATGCTAACCAGCTTTCAGTCAGCTGTGACCAGACCATTAGAAATGTTTTTCTCTTTCAATAATACTGTTCTCCGTCAGCACTAAATCAGTCCTTCCTTCTATTATTTAGCCTACTAATGATACAAACATTATAATCGACATACTAGTGTACTGACATTATGAATCTCCTCTCCACTTTCCTTTCATTTTTTATTGGGGTATTTTCATATTATAGTGCAGGTCATATGCACTGTTATACTTAAGAAGACAACATGTTTTAAGGTTAGGTTTCATCAGTATTCCTTTTCTCAATTCATTATTTCTATGTATTCTCCGACCTGATTTGGTTTATTTTTATAGAAATAAACTTTTTCATGATTTAAGCTCTCTTTTTTTAAGACACACGCTTTGAAAAATCTCTTTAATCTGCTTTGTTTTATCTTGTTCACAGTTGTGCAAGACAACAGGGAGGATGTGACGGCTCTTCACTGTAAATTAGTTTGCCTCGTTCAGAACGGCAGCTTCAAAGAGGCGCTGAATGTCATGAACACTCATTCAAAACTGCTCGGCGGGTAATATACTATTTCTCTGTTTTTCTTTAATGTTTTGACTCTTATAGACCGTATTCAAGTGTATGTGTAGAGCACAGTCTTGTACAAAAGCAGTAAAAAGTGTGTTATAGAGGGGAAAACAAGTAATAAATTACATACACAAATCCTAGCTCTTCCAAAATAGTAACTCACTCATTTAATACTCGGCACAGGCACTGAAGTACTATCAGATATATTTATATAAATACATTTGTCACAACACCTTCTTGCTCCCCTATTTAACATACAACCTATACGTTGTTTTAATGCTGTACGTTAATGCTAATGTTATCAAAACTGTTCAACAATATACATAACTGCACACAACTTTTGCAATGCTTGTTTGAGGCTTTACACACAAACAATAACGTGAGTACATGTCGTGCAGTTGGCTCCATCTCCCCACTGAAATAATGCTTATCTCTCATTTCTCAGTGACGTTGTGTTTGAGAAGGCGTACTGCGAGTACCGTCTGAACCGAGTGGAAAGCGCCCTGAAGACCATCGAGTCTGCTCCTGAACAGACAGACAAGCTGAAGGAGCTTTATGGTCAAGTGGTGAGGCTGAAGAGCATCTAATTATGGCTGGATGTCTTTGATCTGTGGACTTAGCTTTTAAACCCTGTATATTGAAAGTAGACGGTGATCCTACCCAGCTCTTTGTTTGTGAATGTGATGGAAAAGCATCAAACGTTTTCTCTCAACCTCTCAAAGACTCCTGCTGATAGTAAGTGTCTCTCTCTTTATGTTGCAGCTGTACAGGATGGAGCGCTACGATGACTGCAAGTCCGTCTACACTGACCTGATCAGAAACTCCCAGGACGAGTACGAGGAGGAGAGGAAGACCAACCTCTCTGCTGTGGTGGCGTCTATGAGTCAGTGGGAGGAAGCGCCATTGGTAAGCTCTTTAACAACATTTAAAAAAAATGTAGTTTGTTTATTTTTCAACATGCATGTATTGTATTATTGTGTATTAAGAAGATGTGTTGCGTGTTCTGCTACAGGAGGATCTGGGTCTCCCTGAGTCCACGTATGAGCTGTGCTACAACGCTGCCTGCGCTCTGATTGGTCAAGGACAGCTGACAGAGGCGCTCGGGAAACTACAGGAAGCAGAGGGTCAGTCTCTCTCTGATCTGAGTTTCTGTCCGATTTCTATTTGATCAATTCTTTGGTTTGACATGAACTGATTGTGTTTATTTCACAGAGCTGTGCAGAGTGTCTTTGGCAGAGGATTCTGTGAGTGCTGCTTTTGGTTTTATCAAGCCTTATTCATTATCTGTGGTAGATGCTTGTAGATGATGATGGGATGCACTATGTATGTGGATTGATCTCAGAAAATCATCAAGTGGACAATAATGAATATGGATTCTTAATATATGTAAACAAAGAATTGTGAAAGGCAATAATCTTGTAGAATTGTTTTATCTTGAAGGAAGTTGCGTGGGTAAATCAGCCGCCACATTTCTAAATACCCCAAAAGAGAAACAAGAAGAATATATACAAATTAAATGAAATATGGTGTTTTTCTTTGGACTAAATGCACAACAAAGCCCACGCTTGTCTTCAATACCCTCCTGATAATCACTGTGGTTGTTGTTTTGTCCCTCTCAGGATGTGACTGAGGAGGACATCGAGTCAGAGCTGGCTGTAATCCACTCTCAGATGGCGTACGTCATGCAGTTACAGGGCCGGACGGACGAGGCTCTGCAGCTCTACAACCAGGTCATCAAGCTCAAGTGAGTTCATCAAAAGCAGAGAAATTATGTTAAATGAATATAGTCTATCCTAGTTAAATGTGTTGTGTGATTGTAATAGTATGGAAATGCCTGTTAACTTGTTACTGGCATAGATGTACACAAGTCAATACATAAGCTGTGAGTTTTTAGTGCGTGAACAGTGGAGCTGTTAAATGAATATTCCATGCTCTTTATTCGCAGGCCGTCAGACGTGGGGCTGCTCGCTGTGACTGCCAACAATATCATTACAATAAACAAGGTGAGTGTTTGACGCTCAAACATTTACATGCACAAAATAATCCAAGTTCTGCCCTGATTCAGGAAAAGACAACATTACTACTACTAAGCCTTTGACATCAGAAATGAAATGGTTTTCTGAATAACACAAATAGCTGACCACAAACAGGCAAAAGGCTTTGTGTCGCAAAGATAACACAATTGAAATGCATAACCCGAATGTATACATGCTCACAGCGTTTCCGCCAGGGGGGCGTCTTGCCCTCATTTGACGTCACCCTGAACTCGAGCCGAGGGAGTCCAAAAAAAAGAAGAAATTCCAGAGAAGATCGAGAGTTTTTATCGCTTGAAATGACGAAAAGGAAAAGGACACCCCCTCTGTTGGAGGGGCAAAGGAGTCTGGTGGGATTATTTTCGGAGTATTGAAGANCGGAAAGTGTACTGCCGGCGAGCCTTGACGGGGGGTGCTAGTGGAGCACGCGCGTGAACTGCGAGCACCGGAGCCTCGCAGCGGCGAAACTGAGGCTCCGTGGTAAACTGTGGTAACATGAAGAGCCGTTTAGGAACCGGCTCTTCTTATGACGCTTTTCCACTGCAGGGCCTCGTTAGGCCTTGTTAGGCCAGCCTCACTTTATGCTGCGTTTCCATTACAGTTTAGTAGCTGGGGCAGTAACTATAGTAACACAGTGTAGGCAGAGCCGTGATGTCATCTTCAATGTGAAACACAAAACCAACATCAGCCGTTAGCTGTTAGCCCTCAGAG